GCAACCCCCCGGTGCAGCAGGCACGCCTGTGAAGCACGCTGCCTACCAACACAGGCGCTCTGCCTAGCTGCAGCAGGAGTGGGGCGCCCTGGAGGTAGGCAACATTCTGGGGGAGCAGGCGCGCCTGTGCAGCACGCTGCCTACGCCCACCCGGCCGGGCGCTTCGAGGGGCTCCCCACACTACACTGGAGGCGGGCTGGGAGCGTGAGATGTTGACCGTCCTTCCGTTTGCAGCGTCCGAGCAACACGACCCCCGAGGCGGCCGGGGCCGGGGCCGGGGTCGCCAAGGAGCCGGCGCCTGTCCGGAAGCAGAGCAAGATCACCATCGTGCCGACCGTCCCGGCGCACCCGACCAACCAGGCGCCGCCGCCGATGCCCGCGCCCGCGCCCGTCGCCCTCAGGGAGAACGGCCAGAGTGTGAGTCTTGTGAATTAGGGTTGGGAGCATATATCACGCGCCGAGGAAAAATTGGCATCATCTCACAACAGATGGGGAGGGTGTTCAGGGTTATGCGAAGTGGGAGGGAGGGGTGCAGGTCGGAGTCAAGTCGGCCGGCGAAAGAAAACAATAATAGCGCCCAACTGGCAGTAACACATCTTGACGATGTGCTCCGGTGAGTGTGCGTTTGTGAGCTTCTTATTATGCTGTTGCCACTCTAGGTGACCACCGCAATCACCAAGTGGCCGTGCTGCTGCTGTTCATGTTGCTGCTGTCCCGGAGTTTTATATTTACAATGGTGTGGGTTCTAGCCCACGCAGGAAGAGATCGGCGCGTTCGCGCGCCTCGCAGCTCTGGTCCGCAAGGTGGAGGACATGGAGCGCAGGCACGACGAGGAGGTGCTGCGGAGGCCAAGCCTCGCCAACCTGACCTGGGAGGACGACGGCCACCATCACCACCGGGAGCAGCTCGACGAGCAGCTCGCGGGCGAGGAGCCCGACTGGTGGCGCGACATGCAGGACACGGCGCGCGTCGACCTCGCCAGGGAGGAGGAGGCCGCGGCTGAGGACACGACGGCATCGTCCGCCTCCCAGCCTGCCGACTCCGCGCCCACACAGCCGGTCGAGGACGGCGCCCCGGACGACTTCACGCAGGAGGAGGGTGAAATGGTCGTGTCGGTGACGGAGCGGTGGGTCGTAGAGGAAGAGGAGGTCTTGGAGTGGGAGGAAGTCGACGACGACGGCGAGGAGGAAGAGTATGCCCACGACGAGGAAGAGGAAGACGAAGACGACAGCGTAAATACGAGCGGCGTTGTCTGGGGTGTTGATGTTGTGGACCAGTCGGCCCGGCGGCTCCCTGCATGCCTGCCCGGTCAGCAAGGAAACATTCCCCCATCCCTCCTTTCCGTCGTTCCTGCACCGCTCCCCCTCCCCGGTACTCCTCTCACTTCACCCTGATGAATTGTTTGATGACACGCGTAACTTAGCCCCCCCCCCCCCCCCAGCTGGCCAGTCTGTAAACTGCAATGTGCCGACTAAAAATAAGAATGGTACCTTGTCTTGTCTTTTTCGCACACCAGCCCCGGAATGTGTACTATATCCTCTGCGTCTCTTTGCCTGCACCTTGGACCTCTTTCGTCCAAGCCTGCACGTTTGATTGGGTTTCTTTCCCCTCCACCTCAACTGCACGGGACCTTATACAGTATTGATTTTGAAATGTTTCAAAAATAAAGTTTATATTTACTTTTTGTCCGTTTTGCAGGCGGAGCCTTCTGGTCCCCGCAGACAGATGACGGCGGACAGATGGGGCCAGCCGCAGCCGCAGCCCGACAGGCCGTCCGACAACGGCCGGGTGGCGGAGGAGCCCAGGAAGAGGCCCGTCCTGACACATCAGAAGTCCTCGTCGGCGCCCCGGCCTCAGGAGCCGCAGCAGCCGCAGCAGCCGCAGCAGCCGCAGCAGCCGCAGCAGGCCCCGCCGCCCCCAC